ACTTTTGTTTTTGCCAGCTACAAGTAGAAGGTAGTACCATTAACCTTGTGCCGTTACCTAGTTAGTGCCGCAATACCTTAGATAACAATCTGGTGTTAAGTGAAGATTATAAAGAAAATAAGAGCCACAATTCCTTACTTCAATGTTGATGCTCCAGAGACAACAAATTGAATTCCTGTAAAAGCAGACCTGTCTTGTAACCTATCGGTCAGCTGTAGTAGGATGGACTTCGTTTAGCCAACCAGTTGAGTGTGCACCGCACCTGTAAATAGGCGTGCAAGCGGTACGCATACACGTACCAGCGGTATCCTTGGATCGATACCAGCCATAGAGGACACATTCTAGAATAATAAATTTTTGAAGGTATGGTTACAGGTATATTTACCCATTTGTGTTGATTAATATTTGATTAAAATAATATGTGCTATTATGTCAACTAACAAGGTTTTAATGATACTTCCACGACACCCGCCGGTCTAATGCTGACTTTAGGGTCTTTGATCATGTTTGAGTAAGACGAGGACTTTTATCATGAGTGATTATTCACGAGAAATTATATATATACATTTAATGAGTGTGATTAGAATGAAAACTGGTGTTATTGATAAGCAGACTGAAATGTCAGATGGAATTCTTGGCAGACATTTCGTAATAGTTGGTCTTGCAAATATTTGTCAATTTGGCTCGTTTGAAACGCTATAAGACTTAGCAATGTGTTACAGAATCAAAAGTTAGCTTGCCACCGGTATAATTTTACGTGTGGTTTGATTTTAGGTACAACGGTGTTGCGCGAGAAATCAATTTCGCAACTTGAACCGTATAACGCAACCCTTAAGGAGAAAGTAATGAAGAGAAAATAAAAATACATAACTTCCTCGTCCATAAGTCTGATTTTAAAAGAGTGGATTCTTTCATTCTCCTTTTGAGGAGAATGCAATATTTTTGTTTTCGCCGCTAAATAATCAGTTACTACTCATGAGATGATCAGATCAGATCATACCAGCTTACATTATTTTAAGACTATCCAGGCCGCGTCGTTCAGGGGCAGCTGAGACATCTATAGAAACAATACTTGTATACAGAAATCTTGAAGACTATATTTACAGGTACTTAAGTAATTCGACTTTTTAACTATTATTTTCGTTTCCTGACTATAGCCCACTGAAGTGTGATCACAGCCACTAACAACCTTCCCCCAGAAACAAATGGCCGCTTCTATGTCAATATGAGCGTGCTGAAAAAAGGGTCGTGCATTACAATACCACAAAATGACTTGTGGCATAAAACTCTTTGTTTCGTGCATATCAGGTTTTTGTTTGCGACCAATCTAATTATGACAAACCACGCCAGCGTTCTCAGTATGTTGACAGTTTTCGATTTCCCGCCCAAAGAACGTACAGAGAAGTAACAGTGCCTCTTCCACTTGGCAGTAGTCTTCATCCACCTAGAATGGGTCAGATCCCTGACCGTTTTTAGCACAACAACTAGCCTTGGTTGCACCGAAAAAGCAAGCAGGGTTTGCCCCTTGAAAATCCCAGAAACCTTTGAGCAAACACGAGAATCCGATTACTAGCAACTCACTCATAAATCCTTACTCCACTTCGATAGGAAAGTATAACATGGTAACTTGGTATGATCAACGGAGTTGATAACGTAAATTGGCCACCATAAAGAGTTTTAAAGTGGATCAGCCACAAAACGATTGCGTATCAAAATTTTACTCAATATTTCATTTTTTTACTTCGGAAATTTGCATGCATTTGCTTCTATTTTCAACAATTAGAATAGGAACTAAAAGTACCCAAAAAGCAATAAAGCATGTATCCCTTAAAAGTAAAGTGCAGGTTGTTATTGGCCAGTCAACAATTTGTTAAACTTAATCACAAACAAATGGTAGCTTAATTCAGTTATTAAAAAAAAACAAGAATCTGTTGGTCGACAGAAAAAGTTAGACCAGGGAACTCTTATCTATTTGTGTTAGTATTATCCAGATGATTGGAAATTTTTCTTTTTTTTTTTCCAGTTGTAACTATTTTGAAATACGTTTGTTCCCACCGGAAAGTATGCATTATTTCATACCTCAAAAGACCTTAATAAAGCAATCATTTTTGTCTCTAGAAATTTCAATGCTTTACTTTAATAATCATGGTAAACGGAGGCGAATTTTTCCAAAATCGTCACACGATAAGGTTAACACGAGTCCTTGCGTGATATATTCTAAGAGGAACAAGTGGATACGGAATATTCTTTTGGACCAATACAATGTAGCTGCTATAGGAAGCACACATGATTTTTGTAGTGCTTTAATGTTTTGAACAGCGTGTTACCATCAATGGATATACTGTTATGCCTGTTTCAGTTTATGCATTACAAAGGGATGCTGAGTTAAATAAGTGATTATTTGTGTCTACCTAAAGCGTAACTGTATTTACAAAATCATATTTAGGTCGTCCATCCTCCTTTTAAACGAAGCCTCTATTGTCTCTATATCTCCCAGTCTGTAGCGAGCTTAATCGTTTAACCACTTCAGTTTATCTTATCATTGTCTTGCTTATGGCCCCGGCATGGAACTGTTGTAAAACCATCGTGCGTTTGATAATGTCTACTATACTGTGCTTTGTATCTTCCTAAGCAAGCCCAGCCGCTCCTGAAGTCAATTGTCGCTGACGTATTTCAATTGCAGCGAGAGAGGGAAAGTAAGAATTGATTTTTGTTAAGAGCTATTGCTAGCGATAAAGGCATTCTTCACGTTTGCCTGAGATCAAAGCAAATTTACCAATTCAAAACCCCGTGATAGCTGAAAAAATGGACTCTAAATAGAATAAGCTACCATTACATAGCCAATTGAACGATAGCTAATGAATGAATGAATATTTCCCTGCAGCTTTTTTTTAAGTGATACATGCTTTATAGCGGAGTCTAAATAAATTTGTTGGGTACTTTTAGTTCCTATTGTAATTGTTGAAAATAGAAAAAAGTGCAGGCGAATTTTCGGAGTAAAACAATGAAATATTGAGTAAAATTTTGATACGCAATCGTTTTGTGGCTCATCCACTTTGAACCTCTTTATGGTGGCCAATTTACGTTATCAGCTCCGTTGATCATACCAATTACCATGTTATACTTTCCCATCGAAGTGGAGTGAGGTGTTATGAATGATTTGCAAGTAATCAGATTCTCGTGTTTGCTCAAAGGTTTCTGGGATTTCCAAGGGGCAAACCTTGCTAGTTGCCTTTTTGGTGCAACCAAGGCTAGTTATTGTGCTAAATAAGGTCAGGGGTCTGACCCATTCTAAGTGGATGAAGACTACTGCCAAGCGGGAGATGCAATATTATTTCTCTGTACGTTCTTTGGGCGGGAAATCGAAAACCGTCAACATACTGAGAATACTGGCGTGGTTTGTAACAGTTAGATTTGTCGCAAACAAAAACCTGATATGCAAGAAACAAACAGTTTTTTTGCCACAAGTCATTTTGTGGTATTGCAATTCACGACCTTTTTTTTCAGCATGCTCCTATTGACGTAGAAGCGACTTTTTGTCTCTGGGTTAATGTTGTTGGTGGCTGTGATCACACTTCAGTGGGCTACGGTGAGGAATTGGAAATAATAGTTAAAAAGTCGAATTACTTAAGTACCTGTAAAGGTAATCTTCAAGATTTATGTATGCAAACATTGTTTCTATACATGTCTCAGCTGCCTCTGAACGAAGCAGCCTGGATAGTCTTAAACTAATGCAAGCTTGTATCCTAATGGGTACTAACTGATTCTTTACTGGCAGAAACGAAAAGATTACATTCTCCTCACGAGGAAAATGAAAGAATCCATTCTTTTAAAAATCAGACTTATGGAAGAGGAAGTTATGAATCTATTTTCATTTTCTCTTCATTACCTTCTCCTTAAAGGTTGTGCTATACGGTACGAGTTACAAAATTGATTTCTCACGCAACACCGCTGTACCTAAAATCAAACCCCACGTAACATTGTACCGGTAACTAGTTAACTTTTGATTTGGTAACACGTTGTTAAGTTTTTTATCGTTTCAAATACACTTTATACATAAGCCAAAATGAAGAATATCTGCAAGATCAACTTTTACGAAATGCCTGCCAAGAATTCCGATCACCTCTTATATTAAACAAGCAGTAGCCTTGACTTATATTTCATTTAGAGTCTTAAGTTAAAAATGGTCTCGTGCAACATGCCCTTGTTAATGTTGTCGTGGCAAAGTTGTCATGAAAGTTTTCTCGTGTAACACAAACGATAGCAAAACATCGATGATGATGACAAAAAATATGTCAGGTCCGACCTTGTTTCATTTTTCAAAACGATACCTTATTTCATCTCTTTTCTTTTCTTTTTGTTTTCGTTCTTTTTTTATTGTAATTAGCAATTTGGCACCATTAAATTTTGTTTTTTCCTAAGCTTACGACAACGTCGAATGTGGAATAAATAATTAGACGACCAATACAAAGGATAGTTTTTGAGCCGAAGAATGCTTTACATTGGAAGTTTAAGACAACCTCGTTTTAATTTTTACCATTATCAACTTTTTTTCAAGGTTAAGACTTAAAAATTCTCACTAAAAGTTTTCGATTAGAAAAACAATGAGAAAATTAGTACTTTACGTGACTGTTTTGTAGCTAATCCATATATCCCGCGGTGTCTATTCTCATAGAGAACCAAAGATCTACGACAACATACTGATGAGTTAAAAATTGATGACAATATCAACAGGAAGACATTCGGCACACAATGCTCTCAAAATGTATTTTACCATCTTCATCATTTATAATTCGCTATTTTGTTTGAGGGAGCAGATTCATTTAGTGTGGTCATGTATAGAAAGAGAATTTAGCATTTTGAACATGTACGTGTTGTAAATAACTTTACTTTAAGACGTGGAATTTTTTTCAGAGTCAGGCGATAAACAGGAAATTGTCAGTAATTATTAAGCAGGAGACCAGTGCATAAAAAATATTTGCAAACAACAGCAGGAGTAGGTTTTACTGCAATCTTCCACAGCTCAAGCTAACGAGAGATTGCTTTCTGATTTGCAGTTTTAAAGGACAGATTTCCAATCTTTTTTTCAAATGAAATGTTGATGAAGCGTTTTCAACGCGAGAGAGCGGAAAAGGTGAGACTAAGGTCTGTTTTTTTAAACAAAGTTTGACCGTTTTTTAACAAAACCACGTCGTAAACAATTCTTAATGTAGCCTAACCTTACATCTGAATATTTATTTTTGTGAACGGTGTTAAAATGACCGTGAGCTAAGAGTGGAAGGACAAGGACATTTACTTAATCAGGCCCACTTATTACATAAAATCATTGTCTGGGGTTAGACTTCGTGTATTTGGCCTGAAAAGTTTACCTTGTAATTCCGCTTTTTTCAATCGGTAACTGCGTTTTGATAAATAGGAAGCATTAATGCGAGTGAATCTATTGGAAAATGTAAATATTTGCAAGCGATATGGCGAGGATAAATTTTTTTGCTTACCTAGATATCACTTCCTTTTACGAGTCAAGCTAAACAGACAAGAGATTGCTTACTGACGCGCAGTTTTAGAAGTCAGGTGTCCAATCTTTCAAAAGCAATGTCGATTAAGAGTTTTACTTCGGAGAAAGCAGAGTAAAAAAGTTACTCAACAAAATTTTACTTTATTCCGGCTAAGTACTTCTATCGTTATTGAAACGTAAATATTTCTAGCCTAAAAAAGCTCACATTAAATATTCCAATGTAAAATGTTTAATGTCTCAGGACAGTCTTCCCTTCCTGTAGTTTTTAACTCGTGGATACGCGGTAGCCTAGAAACGAGTTGTTGTGGGCGCTATGGGATATGCAAATTGGCTTGGACTCTTTGTAATTAGTCGTCTTCGAACTCATGATCTATCCTTCTGAAGAAGTCTGAAGTCATGGCGCCATTGTGATTGCATCGATCGTTACTATGGTTATTGTCTTTACTCGGCTGTTTCGACATTTACTAAATTGAAATGGACTTCGAATGTCTCAGATTAGTGCTATGATTAAAGACCAAATTTGAAGGGTCTTCAAATTTTCCATGCGCTAAACATAATAAGGAGCAACGAGAATCACGAGGAGTTTGTGAGTGACAGAGCAAACTGTTGAGATGGAAATTCCCACGGAAACATGTACCTATGACATACAAAAAATGGTAATTTATATAATTACTTCTTTCGTTTCGGGGGTTTTTTTATGGGACGTTTCGGCAGCTACGCCAATTTCAGTCTTTTCGTTAATGTTGTTTCGTTTTGTTTTTCTATGCAAACGTGACTGTTTTGATGGTAAGAATAAAATATGATCGGTTTCTACAAATCGTTGCCGGGCACGTGACCATACTTTGGCCGGTGTTGTTTTGATCACTTGACGATCTTTTTCGCTCAGAACACACGACGACTTCCTATTTAAAGGAATGCTTTTCCAATCAATTCCATCGTACCCGTGTAAAAAAATACAAGCATATGCGTGTAATTTAAAACAAAAGGGAAATTCAAAACTAGGAGAAATTGCGAGTGATCGGCCTCTTCTGCTACACGCGGGTTTTTTTGGTGTAACAAGCGTGCGTTTCTCCTAAGTTACAATCACTTTACGCACGTGGGAATGCTGCAATCACGGTATAAGCAGTACAAGGTAGAATGTTTATTATCAACCTAGAGTGATTATGTACGATATTTTGCTTCATCACTCTTAGCCATTACTACTACTTAGATATTAATTCAGAGAAGGGGGGGGGGGGGGTTTAGGGCAGAGGTCCAGCTGCACATACTCAAGTATGCACATACTCAGCAAGTATCCATTACGTACTCAAGTACTATAATTTCTATTCTTGCAATGGTTTTACTTTCTATCTTAACACCTTAGTTTAGTGATAGTGACTTTACAAGTATATATCTCTTTAATACTTTAACCACGAGTTGGCCACGGGCGCCCTTTGATTCTGTTACGCTTTGATAAGTAATCGCACTTGAAACGTCGCTTTGCAGGAAAGATACACTGTTTATCGTATTTTCTCTTTACTCTCGGTGTGGGTAGGTTTACTGGCATACATCACCACAATTTGAAAAAAAGAATCTAACATAACGCTGTTACCTTGTTTATTTATGATTTTATTAGCTGTTTAGATGATTGCGTTTTGCTCTACCATCTTCTAGCCAGATTTGAGTTCCAGTTTATATAACTTCTCCATCTTATTACATTATTTACATAACAAGCGTGACATATAGAAATTCAAAGTTGAATCAACCTCCGAAATTTCAAGAGATGGGTTTTTTTCCTCTTTGCATGATATCTTGAAAAACCTTCTAGGAATTACTGCATTCAGAAAACTTAAGTGTTCAGATCCATCAATGATTTCTTTTCCGGCGGAAATCAAATAATGTTTACAAAAGTCAATTTGATTGACAAGCTATAGATTGATTTAGCTAATTGATTTGTTGTATAAGCGTCTCACTTACATGCTAACATGGAGATTTGCTGTTTACTTAAATCAATCGCTGGTGGAACTTGTGGGTTTAGTTATCGAGAAGACCGAAGTTGCCTATCTCAAGTCATTCCCTTGCTTAGTTGTAAAAAAGACAAGTCAGTAGCGGAGTTGCAAGTTTTCAGACCCAGAAAATGAAGTTGATCTTATTTTTCCGGCATCTTCGAGACGCTAAAAAAAAACGATGAATTAGATCAGATCTCGGTGTTGGGTGGAGTCGTGGTTCTAATAGTAGATGTAGAGTGCTTAAAGAAGTGTTTGGCCAAGGTGAAGGTAGGGTTTTAACTTAAAAGTCGATTCCAAAAGCCATAAGGGAATTGGCAAGTGTGTATCACAGATAGAAGTTAAGACGTCTGGAAAATTCATAAAACCTGGCTCCGGTAAGTAGGCTACTTACCGCCTTGCGCAAAATTACGCGTCCCGTCAGACTTGGGTCTCGATTGGGAATTGGTCAAGAGGCTAGCAAAAATCCAGACAGAGGTGGGGTTTTCTATACTAATGTCTGAACACTTTGTTGACTTCCCGCCGTTTGGCGGGACGCGTAATTATGCACACTGTGGTAAAGGGCCCTTCCGCATTAGCTACTAGACGCTGACAAAACTTGTTTCTCTTCACCAAAAATCACATCAAAATTTTTCCTTGCTAAATTTCAAGTGTGCAGCACGTATCAGCATCTCCCGGGGGACCCCTATACATACCTATACATACATTTAAATTGTCATGACAACAACGTATTTCTGACCACCAATCAGATTATTTGCTTCCCACGCATTGAAAGACGATCTCACTCAACTCGGCAAAAACTCTTCTCATTTCACATTACAAATGAGATTTTCTGTCTCTCTGCTGTGAAAACCACTCCATCGCTTGCTCGTCTAGTTCGGGACACTTGGGAGTGAAACGGCCCATTTTTGCACGTTTTGCAAACATCTTAAGTTTGCCAGAAAGAATAGTCGTCTGGTCTCTTCTCCAGCGTCGCACCATGGACTCGCTAAGTCCATAATCTCGAGTGATTTCCGAGCTGTTTTCTACAGCTTCAGCTTCCGCGCTAACTTTGATCTTGAAAGCCATACTACACAAAGAGCGGCGTGCTTTTGGCATAATGAGAAAAATAACAGTGACGAAAGAGATACTCGATTGAAACGTTTGTCAGGTTATAGTAACTGAGGGCATTGTTGTGTTTCTTCAGTCGCGTAATAGTATTTAAATCTTCACTGATTCCCTTTTTTTTCTTTTGTATTTATTCTCATTCATTAGGTTTTGTGTTCGGTGAGCCATTTCCCAATTTTTTCCGTGAGGTTCGCTCACTCAAATGGCCGGTTACAATGAAGAATTTCGCTCTTTGGACAACACGAGTCTTTTGGAAGGTCTCTAACTTTTACGGCCTCGGCTTATAGGTGAAGAAATACGGTAAGAGGGCGGGGATGCGCGCCGGGAATTTCGAAAACGACGCCTATAAAATTATTAAAGCTACCTGAGTCTTATCCGTATGGGAGTAGTAACAATTTATGTCTACCCTTAAAATGTACCAATTCAAACACAAAAACTTAAAAAATCCTTAAAATAAAAACTCTTTTATCGACGTACCCTAGAGCCGGAAGTCAGATCATAAAATGGTCCTGTTAATGCTTATTTCAGTTAATTTTTCGAATGAAAAACACACTAAAAGGTATCAGCTAGGTCTCTGGAAGTTCACTTAAGTTTGAGAGACCATGAAAGTTACCAGATCGCTGATTTTGACCCCTTAAAGGTACGACAAGCATCTTTACCCATTTCCGATCGCCTCCCCCTTCCCCTCCCCCGTCAGCACCTAAAAACAAAAAATGTGATTTGTCAATGTTACTTCGTAAAATTTACGCGAACTGATTCATTAATTATAAAAACTTTTAGGCACTGATCTGTCAGATTTTTATGCTTGACAAAATCTGTCCTGCTTCGAGGGAGGACGGCTATAATTTTAAAGTTTTGTTCGTCTTGACATTATTTAGTAGGGATTAAAATAACTGTGCGTTTGTATTTGTTAAACAGACTATTTAAGTGCATCCAGAACTCGAGCCAAAGATCTTGCGATATCTGCTGTTCAAGCTATTCTTTCTTTTCAAAGAGGCATCAAAATTATTTTATGTCAAAGCTGCAGGAAACTGCTTGCGTGTCACCCTTTATTCAAGGTGTCCGACATGGTAGGACTGAAAATGGCAGCTCACTTTGATAGAAATCCTTTTGTTGTTGCTTTTTACTCCCTGAAATTATTACTTGAAATTTGCTCGGTAATTAATGTAAAAAAAAATGTGAGTAATACCAGGAGCCCATCATTCGGAGCCTCCATACGAATTGTACCCTTGGGTCAACCCTGACCCGTATGTTTTTATTTTTAGAACTAAGATATGTGGGGGGAGTTCTTTAATTTCCCGCGAAAACACGCTGACGTTTGCATAACACCTTAAAAAATGGCGGGAGGTTGCCTGATAGATATCAGAACTTTCGTCGGATAAACTTTCCGCTCATTTCGCCGTTATTGAGATCCTTTCGTGCGGCCTGCATGTGACGTAAACAATAGACGACCACAGCTCTCTTATGATTGGCTATCATGGAATCACCCGCGAAAAACCTCGTGGGAGGTGCATCTAAAAATAAAAAGATACGCGACAAGGTTGACTCAGAGGGTGAGAAATGACAAATATTTATCTCCTTTTCTGTACCTTTCTATGCTTCCCCCCCTCTTAAAGAGGATTCAAACAGATATGAGTGTCGTACCGCGTTCACATTATACAGGTACAAAAGGTCGTCCAGAATGAGTGTTTCGTTCTGCAATGAAAATTCCCATAAACTAATTCAGAAATGACTCGTTTCGTATAAATTCGGTGGCGGCAAGTAAGCAGACCGTGTATATTTTATAGTCGCTAGCAAGTAAATTTTGCCGGACTTTGAGTTCGTCTCAGGATAGAAATACATAAATACACAAGGAAATTTTTTTACTTTGTAACCGTCCTTTTGTCTTTTAAAAGCTAGAAATTCAGTAGACTCTGTCATATCGGTCATCGTTAAAACTGTCTTCTTTTATGCTACTTTTCGACACAGGAAAAGTATTTCGGCCAAAAATATTCACCAAAAAATAAATGTTCCTTTGCCAGCTTCAATAACGACAGGGGATTAAGTTTAGATGATAAAACAACGGATTATGTTGACATAATTACCGGAGGTCAAGTATATTCGTTATAGGAGGTCACACAACTCGGGTAATATTCACGGTTAAAATTTGCATATTTGAGTGGTCGAACGAAAATAATTAATTCTCGAAAACTAAAATATATTTTCACAAAAAAACTACACTAAAATTATTAGGACATATTGGGCTACAAAACATGAATGTAGGAGTGAAAACGAATTTTGGGTGACTTGCCAAAATATTACAGATTTGTTCGATGGATGCTGACATCCTCTCTTAAATTAAACATTTTACGCGACAAAAATTGCAATAATTATTGCGACATATACATTCAAACGGAGTGCGCCTAACGAAGAATATTTTGCTATCTAAGGACAGTATTCCCTCTTCCTGTAGTTCTTCTGTTACTGTTTGACAGGTAATGGAACCTGCGGGAAAGATTTCTTTAATCTTCTCCTTACAGGTGGTGTTTAGGTGTAATGAAAACAAAAGCAGAAAAATTTTCATCAACGTTAAAACGACAGGCTTTTAACTTCTCTTATTTCCCTACTTTAAAGGCAATAATTGCAAATGAAATGTAAAATGTTCAAATGTAAGCTGAACTCAGCAAAATTGTAAAAGATTATATTCACATTAATGATGGAACACAACCAAAGAATTGTTGCTATTTATCTACATATATTTCTGTTTGTTAACGGATTTTTAGTTTTTGCTGTTAAAACACGAAAGCGGTTCTTAAGCTAGAGATTGGTGTTTTAAGATATTGAATTACAGTCACCATTTGAGCAGCATATTTATTTCAATTTGCGGTTAGGTGGAAGAAATACTTAGAAAAACAAATTTTAGAAGCAATGAAATGCTCGAATGTCAGCTTTAAAACTCTTTATGGAGACCAATCTACATTAACAACTCAGAGAATGAAACCAAATTATCTTAATGAAAAAATAAGTCATGTGCTGTTGTTTCATCTGTTAAAAAGGTGTTGTAAATAACGTTAATTTAAGATGTGGACTTTTCCTCATAACCTTAGGCAATAAACAGGAAGTTGTCAGTAATTCTGAAAGAAAGACTCCCCCATTCATTTTAAGAAGCAGGAGACCAGTGCAGGATAAATATCGGAAAAGAACACGGCAGGTTCATATTTTTATTGCATGCTTATACATCACTTGCTTTCACGGCTCAAACTTACAAAAATAGATTGCTTTCTGACGTGAAGTTTTGAAAGACAGGTTTCCAAATGTTTCAAATAAAATGTTGAGGAAGCGTTTTCCTGGCGAGAGAGCAGAATGAAACATTATGATCAACGTTTAAGTAATAGTTTCTGGTGTCCAACTTTTAAACATCTGTTATTTCCTTAACTTGTAGAAAAAAAATGTAATATGAAATGTTTAAATGTATTCTAAGCTCCGCGGAATTCTCACTGAAGATGGACGACAGCCCAAAAATTGTTCCTATTTACCTATATAATGGTCTTCATGTATTTATTTTTATTACCGTATTTGTGGTTAATTGCTGTCAAAGCATGGAAAAGAAAGAAGGTGGTTCTTAATTTGGAGATTCGTGTCTTAAGATATCGAATAACAGTAAAATTAAGCAAACAAGTTAATTCAATTTGGTTGCTTAGTATAATCAATGAGATAAACTGATTTTCATTTTATCAACTTGGAGAAGGAACCAGAGCATTCCTATCTGTGTTCTTACTTATACGTGTACTATCATAACTTCCCCCGTACTTATGCCTATACAACTAAGAAGTTTTGATGTTCTTATCCAACTTTACTCAACAAAAAAAATTATGTAATGTGATATATTTTCTGTTTGTCTACGCAACAACGTCAAAAGCAGCGCAATTAGCTTAAACAACGCTTGTCTACTTAAACTTGTTCGAAATACATCTTTTCAGCCATGTTTTAAACACCAGCTTGTCGATACTCAAGACCTAATTCATATCTGATAACCAAAGAGAGCGCATAGCAAAAGAAAGAAGCAGTTCTTCTGGGGAGAAGACATTTATTACTGGTAAGCCTGTTTTTTTTAGTAGTTCGTCGGTAAAACCTTTTGGCTTTAACGAAATGTAAATTCATGTTATTTAAAGCAGCAGATTCAAGTGTTTGTCAAATTCTACTCACACTCCATTTAATTTATCTTATTTATAAAAGGTTAAGCTCTAGGAAATTGTTTTTTTGGCATTGACGGGAGTAATCTAGAATTAGGATTATATATGTATATTGTTACGCTTACGTCGACAAGCGTGCTCTTGATAATTCCCTGGATTTAGAGGACGATAACTCTTTTGGTTTTTATGTTAGTTTTTGTTTCCTTCTTTAAGTACCTTTCATGGACGGTTAGTTTCGTCTAGAGGGACCTTACCTTGTGAGTACCTTTGATCGTAGAATTGATTTTATACTTTTAGCGAGTGGCTGGATGCGTCACCTGTCTCTCAAGGCGGCAAACCTCAACCTCAACCGAGCTAACCCCCCTTTAAATACCCCCTTTTAAATAGAAACTAAAATAATTCACCTTCTGTGTTTTGGTTCTCAGACCACGCAAATGTCGTAATTTCATGTTGTTCTTTTTCAAAGGGTAAGAAATAAACAACGCAGGAGCTGGGGTATTGTTCTGTGAAGTAGATCTTTTATTTGGGCAGGTCAACGTTGCGATCTCCCGAAGGTCTTTTATTAGTCTCAACTTGGAAAAGGATTGTTTTATATGGCTTTAAGCAACTGTTGGCGCCCGCTGGATTTTTCGCAAACAATAAATAATCTTTGAAAAGTCTCAGCGACTTAGAAAAATTTTCCATCCGTCCAATCTACTAGTACTCTTATCGCCATTAGGTGTCGTCGAGCCAATGAGTGGAGCAAGATGGCCCTTACTCTGCTAGTGCTGATCGTTGTAAGTCCAACATTCTTAGATGCAAGTTCTCAACATAGCAGCGAAAAAGGAGAGGTGTCGATCTTGGGTATGATGCTGCAAGGACACATCTTCAAGAATATCACAAAAGCGGCTTTCGGTGATGTGTGTTTACGGGAATGTTACCAAGACATCAGATGCCAGAGTTTTAACTACGTCTTTACCCAAGACATTTGCGAATTGAGCAACCGTACTAAGGAAGCCAGACCAGAAGATTTTGTACCAAACTTTGAACGATATTATTTCAGAAAAGACATGAAGAGAGGTGAGACCTTAATGTTAAGTTAGAAAAAAGAAAATAAAGAATTAAGAATGTATTATGGAATGATAAGTGATATATGTAAACAAGAAACAATCCGTTGTTTTTCAGTGCCTCTCGGGTCCGTTCCAGAACTTCCGGCTGAAACGTGTAAAGAGATTAAAACAAGTGAAGGAGGGCAAGCGGTCAGTGCGAGATACTGGATTTACTCCATCATACCTGAAAAGATTGTATTCGCTTACTGCGACATGAAAACAGAAGGTACCTTAATTCATCATGAAAATCGATGTTTAAGTTTTTTGCCTTCATCCTCTCAGAGAAAACTCCACATTAAATAACGTAGAAAATCATTACTGGCCCTAAGATCATTTCAGTTTGGAATGTAAAATGCGATTGAGTTATAAATATTTACACAAACAATTGCCTGTTGTGCAGCATTTGCATTGTTTGTCATCAATACTTCTGCCGTATCGTTGCCAAGGCCTTTGTACACTGACATGTGTAGTTTTGAATTGTGTTGTTCCAACAAATTTGAACATCCTTCCACGAATCGTGTTACGATATAACCAAGGACGCCTAGGTGTTGAAAAATAATGCCACCGATACTGAGCAGGTCTCATGTCACTTCTTCCTATGTTTCCTTTTGGAGTTACAAGCAGTAATAATCATCATTCGGAACTCTACTACTGACTATTTAATGTTTTTTCAGATGTTGACGAATGCAGTTCTTCCATCCCCATTTGTGATCCAAAGGCCAACTGTCAGAATACGGAAGGCTCATTTCATTGTCAGTGTGTGACTGGATTCTCTGGTGATGGGAGATCTTGCACCGGTAAAGTTATTTTTCAAGGCAGACTTGGTGGTTGCATGGTAAAGACAGAGGTTTGGGCCCTAATCGTGTAAGCTTGTTATGTTCTTGAAGAAGGTTCTTTACTTTCCGTTACTTTTCAGCAAGAAAGGGGCAGTAAATAGGTAGTAGAAAATTTTCAGAAAATCGAATCGACAAAAGATTTGAGGATGTGTAGGAGGGAGAGTGGGGGGGGGGGGGGATATTTAAATTGTGTCATTCCAGGTGTTAAAAAATAGTACTACCGATAGTGAACAGGTCTCTCATCACTTCTCCTTATGAACAGGTCTCATGTCACTTCTCCCTACGTTTCCTTTTAATGTTACAAGCAGTATAAATCATCAATCGGAGTTCCACCACTGACTACTTGTCTTCTTTGTAGATGTTGACGAATGCAGCTCTTCCATACCCGTCTGTGATCCAAATGCCAATTGTCAGAATACTGAAGGCTCATTTCACTGTCAGTGTGTGAGTGGATTCTCTGGTGATGGGAAATCTTGCACAGGTAAGGTTATTTAAGGAACATTTGGTGGCCAAGTGTATGATGCAATGGTTTCGATCCTAGCCCAGTTAATCTATTGTGTTATGGTGGCACTCTAGCTAAGATGAAGAAATAAGTAGAGTTGAAAAAAACTTGTAAGGAAATGAGATGAGACTGGATTTTCTGCTGACGGGAAATCTTGCTCCGGTAAGGATATTCTTGAGAGATAGGGTGGTAACTTGATGAACGCCGAGGTTTTGGCCTTAGTCTTGCGAGTGTGCTGTATTTTGGGGCTAGACACTTTGCTCTTTGGTCCCTCTCTTGAGATAATGAGAACACAAATAGTTACCAGCACACTCTTAGAAAATAGAATAAAAAAGAGATTGAAGGAAGGTGGAAATAAAACAAAATAAGAGCCAGAGAAAGTGAGACTTTTATCCCTTTGTTATAAACGGTTGTAAATTCGTTTATTTAAAAAATATATAAAAACAATAAAATAAAAGTAATACTTTATAAGTAATAAAATATAAAACAAAATAAGAGCCAGCGAAAGTGAGACTTTTATCCCTTTGTTATAAACGGTCGTAAATTCGTTTATTTCTGTTTATTCTTATCGTTTAACATATAAGCATGAACAATCTACTTGATTAGTTTGGGTAAAGTGACTCAACCAACTGAGTGCGAATCGACAAAGCCGGGTACAAAGTGACTGGGTACGAAACGCCCCAACCAGCATAACCAGGTCACTTGTCACATATCCCTTTCAGCCTTACCTTCAAGAAGTGACTTATTTGTTATCAGAAAACTTGCAGTTTAATGAAAGTATGTATTGTTTTTAGTATGCTGTCGGTTATTAGGTATAGACGAAGTATTTCAGACATGCACTTTACTTTGGCATTGAAAGTTTTGAATGGTGTTGTTCCAACAAATTTGAACACCCTTTCACGAAATGTGTTGCGATGTAACAAAGTGCGCCCATATGTTGAAAAATAACATCGCCGATATTGAACAGCTCTCTTGTCACTTCTACCTGTGTTTCCTTTTAGAGTTACAAGCAGTAAAAGTCATCAATCGGAGCTCCACTACTGACTGTTTAATTTCTTTGCAGATGTTGACGAATGCAGCTCTTCCGCCCCCGTCTGTGATCCAAAGGCCAATTGTCAGAATGCGAAAGGCACATTTCATTGTCAGTGTGTGACTGGATTCTCTGGTGATGGGAAATCTTGCATCGGTAAGGCTATTTTTTAAGGCAGTTTTGGTGGTTGCATGGTACACGCAGATGTTTGGGCCTTAGTCATGTAAGTGTGTTATGTTTTTGAAGTAGATTCCTTACTCTCCGATTCCTCTCTAAGGGAACCAATAAATAGGTAGAAGTGCAGTTTTAGAAAATCGAATCATTAAGAGACTTAAGGAGGATGTGTAGGATGGGGATTTCGAACTTTTTTATTTAAGGAATATTAACATCCATCCAAGAAAGAGTGGTTGGATATAACCATATGCGTCCTTATTTCTTTGTAGTTGGTTAACATATAACACCAACCAGCATGACCAGGTAGTCTGTTACTCAAATCCCTTAAGCTTAGCTTCAAAGAGTAATTTTCTTGCGGAGTTCTCGCTCTGTTTCCTTTTAGAGTTAAGGGCGGAAAGAATCAATTTCAGAAAATCGAATTAACAAGAGATTTAAGGGTGTATAGGAGGGAGAGTTGAGGGGGGAAAATTTTATATTGTGTTATTCCAGGTGTTGAAAAATAGTACCACCGATATTTAACAGGTCTCTTGTCACTTCTTCCTATGTTTCCTTTTAGAGTTACAAGCAGTAAAAGTCATTAATCGGAGTTCCACTACTGTCCATTTGATTTTTGTAGATGTTGACGAATGCAGCTCTTCCATACCCGTCTGTGATCCAAATGCCAATTGTCAGAATACTGAAGGCTCATTTCACTGTCAGTGTGTGAGTGGATTCTCTGGTGATGGGAAATCTTGCACAGGTAAGGCTATTTAAGGCACATTTGGTTGCCAGGTAGATGATGCAATGGTCTCAATCCTAAGCCAGTTAATATATTGTGTTATAGTGGCACTCTTTAGCTAAGAAGAAGAAATAGGTATAGTTGAAAAAAACTTCTAAGGAAATTAGATGAATTGCTAGGAGGTTATTTCTGATTGACGAAAAACCCATCTAAGAGGGCTTATAATCCTATTATAGCACACCTGTTCGTTATTGCTTTGATTTTTTAGTATCCAGTTGATGGATCCTTCTTCCTTTATATCCTTACGCTTCCTCCTCTTGTCTTCTACATTCTTTTTGGGTAGGGAAGACCTATTGCCGCGACATTCTGCTTCTCAGTTTATTTTAATCGTTACAATCTCTGAACACTGTAAGCGACCTCAGCTCGTGTTATAAAATTATTGAAAACGACGTAAGTGCAGTTAAAAACAGCATCAACTACAAAAACAACAGGAAGAGAACTTCTAAACTGCTAAAGGGACTCGTTTTGGCGAAATGTCCTTATTTCTCTCACACTGTATGTATTTTGGAATTTTGATATTTTAATATATTTTCAACCGAGTCTTCTCCATGGTTACTTCTTTCATTGCTTCTCGGTGATAACTTTTACTTTTTGCCAATGTTATTTGTTATTGCTCTCCTCCAACGTAGCAGGCAGGTTTTTGTTATTCTCATCTACCACCAGGGGAGAATTGACAATAAGATCTTGGGAGTTAAAGGGTTAAGCATGATTTCCACAGCACTCCCGAGACCGTTCCTCGGATGATTTAAAGCCTAATTTAAATGATTCAAGCACAGCTGAGGCCAGTTTGATCTCAGGTACCTCCAATACTTAGTCAGTAGTATGTTGATCACACAGCCACTAATGAGGACGCTCCTATCCGTTTAATGGGCGGTGGAGCAAACTACGGCCGTGTAGAGGTTTATCACAACGGGAAGTGGGGCACAGTGTGTGATGATCACTGGACAATTAACGAAGCCAATGTGGTTTGTCGTCAGCTCGGCTTCTCTAGTGCATCTCAGGCTAGTTGTTGCGCTAAATACGGTCAGGGTTCTGACCCAGTCTGGATGGATGATGTCTACTGCCAAGGGGGAGAGGCAATGTTATCTCGATGTACGTTCCCTGGCTGGGAAAAACATAACTGTGTACATAGTGAGGATGCCAGTGTGGCGTGCAATGATTAGACTGGTCGCAAAGAAAAAAAAATTTCCACAAAACAATTTTTTTTGTAACAAGTTATTTCGTGGCATTGATCTCACGACCTTATTGTAGCATTGTCATATTGACACGTTGCTAGTTTTTGATCTCGGTTCAAAAATTAGCAACGCAAGATGACGAATATTTGCAAGATCAACAATCATGCTTGGAGGCAAACAGTACAGCCAATTAGCACTTGCGAGAGGCACTGTTTACGTATTTGGTACACTCGCCACAATGAGATAATTACCGAATACAACATATTAAAATATTTTAGGGCAGTTAAGGTGTACCAATAATTTCGGTAATCATTATCCGTGGCGTATTTTGAACAATCATCTCATTTTTCTATAGGTGTTTAAACACATTAGCGACAGCACTGTAGACGTACATCTTTTTTTCCGCCTTTTATGGAATTTTTTTAGCACGTGCACCCGAAAAAAAAATGGAAAAACAAAGCCATTCTAGTTATTCTGCGGAGCATATTTCGTATAAGACCTAAGGATCGAAAGCAAAAAAAAAAAAAGATGATATGAAAGATAGAAATGATGATGATAATAATTATCATAGTGTTTAACAAACAAGAGCTTGTTAAACATGAGAGCTTTAGGAGGCTTAAACTTTGTCAAGACTGTCTCTTTAAAAATAATCTCGTGTAACGTAGCGTTAGTAGTAGTTTTCGCAGCAAATTTGCGATAAAAGGTGTATTGTGTAAGAGCAGTATTGGTAGAAAGTTCGGTACAGGCAACGCTATTATTTGATTTACGTAGTGATAAGTAAGTCTCCAAGAGGACTCAGCGCTGGAAATAGCGAGATAATACATTTAGATAGACGAATTTAATAAGCAACAAGGAGGGGTTGCCATAGACCTCCTAATGGTAACATGATCAGCAATCTTTTGTGTTCATGAAAATTAGCCTTGTTATTCTTGGCTTTGAATGAAAACTTAATAATTTGTACACATGTAACTGGAGCTAGAATGGTTAATTCACATTAATGTAAGTGAATGATAGTTAGTTTTGCCATCTATGGAAGTCAAATGTATTTGATAGCAGCAAGTCTAAGGCCTTGTGCCGTTAAGGTTCCTTTTTTCAGAGCGTGTATTCAATCATGACCAATTTGTATACCTTTGATAGTAATAGAATATAATTGCTGTACATGTTGGTGTTACAATGAAAAAAATTAAATATGACTTTGGACCATTTTTTGCGTAATTCCATATTTGAAATACATAGCTTTTTCTTGGCAGACACCTTTATGCGGGGTGATGCACGAGAAACTTAACAAGCCTTGTGCTTATAAGGCGATACTACTGTAAAACGTAATACTATCGAAGCATTTGAAAATATATAGTACAAGTTATTAAATGTGTAGGTTTTGAAATGAAAAATTTTTTTATTTTTCGTCTAGGCGGGCCTATTCAATCATACTCAAATTACATATCACTGGTAGTAATAAGGCATTGCTACTAGGCAAGAGTTATTTTTGACACTATAATAAAAATACTGTCTTCACAGACCTCTGGAATTATAGTAATTAGCTGACCAACGAGAAGAATTAAATCACAGACTTGTCTAAGGATATGATACGTTGCGGCGTAGCATACGTAATAACGGGGTTTTCCACGTAATGAGCCAATCATGGCCAGAAATTCCGAATCGCGCGTGCGCAATAGACCGCAAGACTTAGAGTCTTAGAAGAGTTTAAAAACTCGCTGAAGAATACAAAGCTTAGTATGGGATTCATTAAAACCAGTTAATAAAATTCGTATTATGGACGTAACCCCGCCATCCTAATGCCAGTTTGAATGATACTCATCAGTACTTTCATTACAGAATTACTGTGTTTTGGTAAATGAAACAGTCGTTGCGGTTTTTTCCGTTATAACTTACAACGTTTTATTCCCATTACAATACGGAAAATGGCGTCTACCTTCGTAAATATCATTTCCCGAATCTTAACTCAGCCGAAATCCCTTACTGGTATCGATCCATCCCAATCAAATTGTTTAAGTTCAAAGATGTCATTCCACATTTACGGCAAAAAGAACTTTGCAAACCCTAAAAATATTGCCGCTTTTTTTTTGCCTACTTTCAGCAGATATGAACGCATCTACGAACAGTAATCTTCCTTCGATCGCGCTGAAATAACAGTACTGAACGTCTCTCTTCTTCGCACTAAATGCTGTGCAAAAACGATCGCTATTTTAATACCTACGGCTCAATGACAGATAAAAGACTGGTAACTACAGGGGGTGATCACGAGGCTGGGGGCTCGGTATAAGATGCCCTTTTGGAGAAATTTAAGAATTTTTTGTTTTAGTTTCGCGCGGGAAAAAAAACCAAAACAATAATGAAAAAATGTCTGATCGTCACCCGGTCCGTGACCCCCTCATATGTATTTGCGGTCCACCAGAAGCTCAGTTAAAATATGTGACAAAACAAAGTGAAGGTGGTAATGAAGTCCTATTCTTGCTGGCGGTTAAGAATGCCGCACTAATGCAATGGCACAAATTGAAAAAAGACACCCCAGGCCTTGCATACATTGACATGCTAAATGGAATCATCCCTGGCCATGCGTTTAAGATCAGTTGAGAGAGTGATCGAATTGAAGGCCGACTTTCAAACCGCTTCAATCACAAATCAGACTCTGAACAGAAAAGGAAATTGTAAAAACAGAAAGGGGCATGAGGAAAAATTGTGTAAGCTGGTTATTTTGAAAAACAATGTGACCTCGGTAGAGAAGTAGGGAGCAGATCTGCATGCCATTCAGTCAAAACTTGAAAAAGCAGAGAAAGAAATATGTATCTGGAGAGCAAAATATCAAAATCTTGAGGAATGAAAAGGAGAAACTGGTTAAAGATTTCAGAGATTAGAATAGAATATGTAAGAGAAAAGGAAAGTTTAAGAAAACTGAACGGTGAAAATCAACAACTTACTAAGTACATTGACAGGTAACAGAATTAAAAGCTTGGGGATTCACAGAGGAACTGAAATTCTAGACCTCAAAACCAAACAATCACACACAGAAAATTAAAAGAACTAAAGACTCGAGCACAGAAGGCACTTAATCTTGTTGAAATATTTGGACTGGATTTATAGCTTTTGAAACTGAACACACATACACACACTTTATTGATTTCCAATTAAATTTTACAGAAAAGGGCATGCCCGCAACTAGCAAAGACTAATCTAGGCGGGCCATGCCTTAATAGCCGAATTGGAAAAAAAGACCCCAGAAATTAACTGATAAAAGAGAAGGGAAAGAGACAGTATTGAATAACGACAAGAAAAACCGTTACATTGACCTAATTTAAAATATAAAAGGTACAGCTACTGTTTATAAAAATAGTCAGGATAGATCAGGAGAATTATTACCAGGAATTTACATTTTGTATAATCTCAGATAAATCTATATTAGAGTCTTGTGAACCTGATATGTTGAATACAATTCGTTTGAGTTTTCTTTTAAACGCATTTTTGGAAAGATTTCTTAATGCTTGAGGTATTGCATTCCACACTTTTACTCCTATTCGAGAGTAGGAATTTGCTTGAACGGATAGCCTAGAAGGTTTGGTATAGAAGTTATTAGAGGCAGAAGAACGTGTATTGTAAGAATGAACATTAGATATATCTTGAAATAGATCTTGAATATTGGATGAAGCTGTTCTGTTTCGAACGTCAAACATCAAATTAGCAATAGATTCATAATAAACAAATTTTAGCGGTAAGATATGAACGTCAACAAATAAAGGAATTGCATGCTCATTATGATCAGAAAAGTAGATAAAGCGAAGAGCTCATTTCTGCAACTTTAGGAGCTTGTCAAGGTAAGATTTACAAGCCTGACCCCATGCTGTCAGACCGTATGTTAAGTAAGGAGCTATAAGAGCTTGGTATATATTTAAGAGGGTATGCGTTGGCGGAAAGTGTCGTAATTATGCGATTGATCGTACGGTTCTGCTTACTTTAATGATTATATGGTCAATATTGTGTTTCCAAGACAAATTTTTATCAATTAAAATCCCGAGATATATGACATAACCTCTATGCTTTAGAGCCACCTTCTTGTTTTGTTTCTTATCAAATATCACGATTTTAGGTTGATAGGAAAGTTTCCTTTGGGCAGGGCAAAACATGACGAAGTTACTTTTTTTAATATTCAAGGTCAATTTGTTTGCAGTTCACCAATCATATGCTTTGTTAAGCTCTTGATTTACGCAGAGTTCCAACGATTTCAGATTTTTATCAGCAAAGGATATTTGTGTCATCCGCAAAAAGGTAAAACTAAGCTTATCTGATGATTCCTGTATGTCATTGATATATAACAAAAAAAGCAGTGGGCCTAGAACAGAACCCTGAGGCACTCCACAGGTAGAATCTAACCTTTCAGAAATATGAGGACCCGTTTTAGTTGTTTGAGTTCGCCCCTGCAAGTAGGAAGAAAACCAGATGTTTGAAACTTAAAGACCCTAACAGTACTGATAGCTTTTCTATAGACTTCTCAACTACAAATCCTCCCAATCCACAGCAAGAACATGGTAGTGTGGCATCCCCGAAATCAAAATATGGCAAAAAAAGCCTGTGCTGATTTCGACTGAATTCATCAAAAAATATATATCACAAGCGATCACGTGCGAAGACAGGAACTACGACTAAACACTTATCGTTTCATTTCTTTCCCGTCTTTCGACGAGCCTTTCGACAAACCTTTCGACTTCCGTACTTGATTACTTTCTTTGGATGGTCAGAGTCGGCATCCGCGAATGAGATGCCATTTAACATAGAGAGGTAATCTTTCGAAGGTTTCTCGCGCGACGCCATGGACTAATCACACGCTAGCTTTCTGGACAGGCTGTCATGTGCGCTGGCGCATAACAGAAATAAGCACCACCCACTTTGGTTCGGAGTTTCTGGCTATGGGTGGAATAAACGCTCTCTGTTTCGTTTTAATAACAAGAACTCCGCTCACCTTTGTATCGCGCTGAGCTCAAGGAAAGAGTAAAAGATGTATTTACATTGATGATGGAACACGGCCAAGAAATTATTGCTATTTATCTCTATAAGGATCTACATATATCTCTTTTTGTTATCGCAGAGATATTGTTCTGTGAAGTAGATCTTTTGTTTGGCCACGTCATCGTTGCGGTTTCCTGAGGGTCGTTTATTCATCTCAACATGGGAGAGGATTGTTTCATATGGCTGTAGACAGCTATTGGCGCCCCCTAAATTTTTCGCAAACAATAAATAAATCCTTAAACGATCTTGTCGCCTCCTTTCACTAAGTCTTAGCGACCTGGCAAATTTTTCCATTAGCCGAATCTACTGATACTTTTATCGCCATCAGGGGTCATCAAGCTGCTGAGTGGAGCAAGATGGCCCTCACTCTGCTACTGCTAATGGTTGTAAGTCCAACATTCTTAGATGCAAATTCTCAACACAGCAACGCCAAAGGAGAGGTGTCGATCCTGGGTATGATGCTGCAAGGACACATCTTCAAAAAGATCCCAAAAGCGGATCTCGGTGATGTGTGTTTACGGGAATGTTACCAAGATATCATATGCCAAAGTTGCAACTACGTCTTCACCGAAGACATTTGCGAGTTGGGCGACCGTTCTAAGGAAGCCAGAGAAGAGGATTTTGTACTAAAAAAGACACGAAGAGAGGTAATATCTTAATGCTAAAAGAAGAAAAGAGAAAATGAAGAATTAAGAATAATTATATTATGGAATGATAAGTGATATAAGTGAACAAGAAACAATCCGTTGTATTTCAGTGCCTCTCGGGTCCGTTTCAGAACCTCCGGCTGAAACGTGTAAAGAGATTAAGACAAGTGAAGGAGGGTAAGCCGTCAGTGCCAGATTCTGGGTTTACTCCATTATACCTGAAAGGTTGTATTCGCTTACTGCGACGTGAAAACAAAAGGTACCTTATTTCATCGTGAAAATCGATCTGGGGTTTTTTTCGCGTATCCTCTCAGAGCAAACTCCCAATCAAAAATCGTAGACAATCATTACTGTTCCTGAAATAATTTCACTTTTGAATGTAAAACGTGATTGAGTGAAAAACATTTACATAAACAATTGCTTGAAAAATAGCATTTGCATTATTTGTCCTTAAGTACTTTTCCCGTATTGTCGCCAAGGCCTTTATGCACTGAGGTGTGTAGTTTTGAATTGTGCTGTTCCAACAAATTTGAACATCCTTCCACGAAATTGTTTCGATATAACCAAGTGCGCCTAAGTGTTGAAAAATAACACCACAGATATTGGACAGGTCTCTTGTCAATTCTCCCTTTTAACCTCTTCTGTAAAGAGTATTTGGTGATAAAGATTTTGGTATGTTTCCTTTTAGAGTTACATGCAGCAAAAATTATCAATCGGACTTCCACTACTGACTATTTGATTTATTTGCAGACGTTGACGAATGCAGTTCTTCCGTCCACGTCTGTGATCCAAATGCCAATGGGAAACCTTGCGCGAGTCAGATTTTTTTTTGAAGGCAGACTTGGTGGTTACCTAGTGAACGCACAGGTTCGAGTCTTATTCATGTAAGTATGGTATGTTTTTGAAGTAGATTTTTTTACTTTCCGTTAGCTTTCTGCAGGAAAAGGGCAATAATTAGCTAGAGGTACTTCTTTAGAAAATCGAATTAACAAAAGATTCAAGGAGAATTTGTGGAATGGAAGGGAGGGGGATTTTGAATTTCGTTATTTAAGAAATATTAACATTCATTTTAGAAAGAATTCTTCGATATAACCATATGCATCCTAATTTGTTTGTAATTGGTTAACATAAAACACCAACCAGCATGACCAGGTCATCTGTCACTTATTCCTCTTAACCTTAGCTTTCAAGAATAAAATTGATTGGCAATTCGCTTCCAATGAATGGTGATGGGTCAGTCGAGTTTTCAGAGCCTTTTCAAAACAGGTCACTTCAGCAATTTTGAGCGACCTTTTGACCTTACATATCGATGGAAAATACAAACACTAGCTATTTAACTCAAACTCTCCTTCATTTGATGACGCCTTGTTTGAGTCTGCTGGCATATTTTGTAAACTCCGTCCGTATTAAAAAAAAAAGAAAAGAAAAAAGATGACATTACCACTGCACCACACGGATGCCTCGAAGACTAGCAGAACAGACAAACACGGTGAGAACACAGTTTACCCTCAATGAAGTAGCCATTTGCTTTGCAACGTACAGGTTCGCTCTTACTATTTTAAAAGGTTGTGCTTGCTACCTTCAAAAATTAATGCCCGATTTCAAGAGCAGAGGACTTTGCTCGTTCGGCTCGTGTTTTGCAAGCTTTTTTACGAAAATGAGGAATTTAAAAATGAAGCAAAAAATTCAAGTAATTATAGTTTTAAATGATGGACAACAAGTCGAGATATTCCTTTACGTTTGGTGAATTAGTTGCACTGAATACTAAGTATCGTATATCGGCCGGGCGTATCGGTGAGCTAAAAAGCCTTTAATCTTAGGACGTTCTTCTTGTACAAATCGAAAGCGAATTTAACTTTAAGAGCGTGTTGTAAAATTGGCACGGTCACTATGTTCTAATTATAGTGCAAAGTTGCGAGCAAAATCCTAACACGTTCCTTTGTTTCTACCGTGCGACGCAAGACAATGGCTGCGAAGTTAATGAGGCAAGTAACTTACACGCAGCTAACGTGTTAAAAGCTCGTTCTTTTGTTTTAACGTGCTAGTGTACCGTCTGCGTGCGTTCACCTTATTCCCTCAAATCCCATGGAGGGTCACATTTACAATGAGGCTTTTGAAAACAAAACGAAAAACATAGATTTGCCGAGATACTTTAACAAAATTTGAATCATGTTGAATGAAAGAATGCGAGAACAAAGGTGATAATGTTTATTCAAAACAGAAAATATAACTGTGAATGTAGGAAATAACGAATGTGGGAAAGTGGAAGCAACAGATAAAGAATAACAGATGGGAAAAAAAAACCGAAAAGAAAAATTACATTGAAGCTTTTTAAAACAAGAAAAAACAATTCTGCGGAAAAAATCTAATAGAATTTGAAGTATGGTAAATGAAAAGAGTACGAGAACAAAAGTGATAACGTTTGTTCAAAGCAAAAATATAACTGAGAATGTAGGAAATAATGTATGTGGGAAAGCGGAGGCAATAGATAGAGATAGCAGATGGAAAAAGACAGGAAAAAAAACACCATAACCTACTGTAAGTTTTCAGCAAAACAATATACTATTAGTTTCCCTGAGACGGAAAGTAAACATATCCCTCTTTTACCTACGCAGCGCGATTTTAATCAGCGGATTGTTATCAAATATTACTCTAGCATTTGGCCGGATTTTGAAGACATGGACCTTTGGCTCTATATGTTTTTCATCCCTCTGGTTTTTAACCTTGAACAAAATTTATCCTGCATGGATGGTAAGATTACTTTCTTGCTTTAAGAAAGTAGATTTATCTTGTTTCTGTCTCTATTAGCAAATCATCCTCAACAGTTCACTAAAACAAAAATGCAACATTTCAAAGGCTAAAAATTGAAGGCTAAATTAATTAAGAAGCTTCAAACTACTCGCAAAATTTACATGCTTTGTCATTTTTTCGCCTTTTTTGTTGTTTTTAAGGGAAAATTCTGCTTTTGATCATTTAATTTGTCCTTCTAAGAAATTTCTGGCGATGAGAGTACTACACTCGTCACTGCGGTCACTCAGTTTACCAAATTTTCGTTACAAGAAAATGTCCAACAGAGTTCTTGAAATATCTTTTAAAAGACATGAGTTTCGCAGTATAAAAAGTAGGCTAAACATAATCAAGGAATAACAAAATCTTACATAACCAGCTGAAATAACTTAACCGAACTTCCATCGCAATAATTTTTTTCGCGTCATCAGTCGTCTTGATTAAAACTCGGCATTTGAATAATTTCTTCCGTATTTGTAGGACTTCGCTTTGTTCTGAGGTATGCACAAAATGGAGCTAACGCGTCAATTTTTCAGATTAAAGAAATAAACCCCAAAAAATTTTTAAAGTATAGATAAAGAAAAAACTTCAAGTATGAAATAAATATAATATTGAATAAGCAGGACAGGACAGGAAATCTTCGTAGTCGAACAGTAGATAGGATGTTTCGCGATTATTATTGTAAGATTACTGATCATTGAGTTTAAATTAAATTTCATTTTTCAATTTTTAAGAAAGGTCTTAAACTTCAGAGAGTTTTCTGGCACTTTCTGTAAAATTGTTATTGAAACTCTATGTTCCTAACAAACAAATTATAATTGAAAATTGAGCATAAATATAATTTGAAGGCGACAATGCGACGCGACCACAGAAGCCACATGGAGAGTCTGTGTCGGTCTGTCTTTACCTTTATTCTCATGTTGATATTTTCCAGACAGACCCCTTGCTTTATTTGCAACCGCGCTAGCGTGCACGGTCAGTTTATATACAAATGCACAAAACACAAAATCTAGCCTAAAAATGGCATTTTAAGCTATTCCTTTTTTATGAGGATGAAAACAAACACTACGGTAAAACCGTAACAAATTTTAATTATGCGTTTTAGTTACTTTTCAAGCGAACCATGCGGTAGAAAAGGTCAAGCTCAAAGAGACTCGTGAAGAGTCGGAACTGTCGGTACTATTGTAACCACCATAAACAGTTGCAACAATGTTTGCCTTTGACCACAGGCAGCCCAACCTCACGTCTCGAGAAAAAGCCAACGATGAATTCATGAACGCGTCACGCGTTGTGTGACTTGGTGTTAAGTTACGGGAGGAACCGTTGAAAATTTGAACACGTTATAAGGAATAGTATGGGGAACGAAATATGGTCGATTTACAACGATAAATATTTCGAAATATGAATATTTTACATGTAAAATCAATAAAATTTACTCATGCCCCGTGTATCCGTCGTAGTTTCTGGCGATTTCTGCTGTTTTAAAACGGTTTTTGGAGGTCAAATATTCCAACGAGCTTACTAAATCGAAAAAGCGATTGATATCACATGATGCAAACACTTTTTCCAATACCTGTTACACCTCGGTATGTAGTTATTGCCATAGATAATCCAGACAAATATCGGAATCATCCATATGCGTATTCTCATACTTAGCAAAAACTCTCAAAGGGATAGAACTAAAGTAATTTTATGTTTTATTGGTTTTTCTTTTTAGATCAATGCCGTATCTTAGCATTTCCATCCACTCTGTTCTTCGTCGGAGAACGTCTAATTAACCACACCATAGCAAACATCAGTGTGATTGACAGGGACACGTGTGAATATCATTGCTACCTGCTCCATAACTGTGTTAGTGTGAACTTTTATTTTGGACAAAATGGAGGAGAAGCACACAACTGTGAACTAAATAACTCAACGAGTAAAGAACACGAGAGGGATCTGGCGAAAGCAGCGAGCTACGTATACCACGGGACGAATGTACGAGCTATTGTCAATGTCAATTCTTTGGCGTTTAGCATTGGATTAGAGCTGAAGGCATATTTTTTATAATTGGATTATGTCCAAACCATGTATTATTTCTACCAAGTGCTATAAAGGACGGTGCCATTTAATTATCTCTTATAGACTTAATCCGAAACAATACTTCACAACTACTCACCTGAGTGGAAATGGCTGGTGGTGGCGGAGTGGCAAAGTAAATATCCAACTCTAGCCACCGACACGGAGGTGAATAGCTGTTTTAGTGCATGCTTAAACAGCGGGATAATAGACAGAAATATGGTTTCAGCTTATTTATTCCTGCATGATTACTACTTTCGGGCGCAAATCCCACGCAAATTGCTAAGAGGTGAATAGCAAAGGATATTTGGAGTTTGAATAACCAATCCGAGTGCACCTTAAACACTACCTACTTATATAGTGAAGTTTGTTTTGGTTCCTGAAGGACGCTCGAGGCCATTCAGAAGAGCACTTCATTTTCCACGATCTTTTGCATATGTTGTCACCCAAGAGAAAATAGAAATCCCATGCTAATTCATTTTGTTTGGTTCATGCTAAAGAAACCTCATGAAATTAGTCCTCGAAGTTTATCTCTAATACGGGCCCTCATTTCGATTACAGTAACAGGCTATTTTTTCCGTTTTTCTTCAAGAATTTTTGTGCGCAATCACCATGCAAGAACTACGGAACCTGTCAGTCGGGTTTTCCAAAACAACGGTATCGATGTTTATGTCCTAAAGGATACATCGGCCACGATTGTGAAACAGGTAAGTCCAAAAAATAAAAGATAATTTGATTTTATCAATAGAGTTGATAATGTAAATTGGTTGCCTTCTTCTTATTAAACATATTAACATGAATAATCAACTTTATTAGTATGGGTACAAAACGACTCAACAAATTTGGTGCGAATCGACCAAGCCGGGTACAAAGCGACTGGGTACGAAACGCCCTTGGTATAAAAAGACTGGTAACGGTTAAAATATAACACCACCCAGATGACCAGGTCATCTTTCCCTTATCCCTGTTGACCTAAGATGCTTGCGTTGTTTTTGCCATCTTTCCTTTGAGAGTTATGGGAAATGAGAATTGTCGATCGTTGTTCCACTGTTGCCCTAGTCTTATCAGTGTGTTAAGCTTTTGGGCCGGACATTTTTCTCTTCCGTACCCTTCTCTGTCAGGAAATGGAATTTTAAACAAGATATAAAACATGTCTAATTTCTTGAACGGAGGGAGACTTCAGGGACCTTCAGGGTGTTGCTGGTGAAAAAATTAGTTGGCTTTACAGTGCTGTGCAAAAGTAATGCAAACGGTTATCGTCGTTTATCGCGCTTTGTTCTTCCGATGTACCGCCGATATATCGTTCATTTTCTTGACACCTTAAGAACGATAAATCGACGAGATATCGGAGCTTTCCCACAATATCTCGTTCCGACGATAAATCGTTCCAACGATACATCGTTCCGGCGATATATCGCTAAAACGATATATCGTAGAGCGTGCAGAACATCATCACGATATATCGCTTCAGTGAAATATCGTACCAGCGATTTATCGCTTAATCAGGAATGACTCATTGCGATATATCGTTCTAGCGATATATCGCCTTAGCGAGTTTTCTCATGGCGAGAAATGCTTGTCTACCATATCTCGTTCAAGCGAAATAATTATAAGTTATTTCAGATTCCTCCCCCATTTTTTTTGGTACATGTAAGTTTTTAATGTTATTTTAGTGCGTCAGCAAAGCTAACATTCAATGACAGCGTAGTAAATAGATACATGTTATCATACTGAATGCAGCCAGTTTAAAATGGGGCTTTATTTGAAGCTCGTTGCAGCATTGTGAAAGGGGGCAGGCCATGAGGGAAATATTTAGATTTAATATTCGAAAAAAGAATTGTCAAGTTATTTTATAAAACAAATGATTTTATTAAAGTATTGTTCACTACGCCTTTGGATGAATTTTGTAAATCAAGATCAGTTTAGTTTGGGCGCTTTTCTTTTTCATTTTTTCGCAAATGCTGGCAGCGTTTTCCGATGCTAACTTTGCACGTATCCCACATGCGGCTCATTTCATCAGTGCTGCGGCACTGGTAAGAGTAGGCCTTGATCCCCTCAGCTGAAAAAAAGAAAAGAAAAAACAAAGCATTAATTGTCGCAGCGTAAGGGGGGGAGGGTGTTTCTTACTAGTACAACATACAAATCATAAAAGCAAAACAAAACAAAACAACATGAAAACAATTTGGTTGGAGAACATTATACATTTCATCGAAGTAAGATAACAAACTTTCATGAGTATACCTTTTTATAGCTATGTCCGATCGAGACACTTCAGAATACTGACTTCAGCTTCACTTTACTTGAACGAATTTTTCTTTCAATGATTTTTTTCCATTTTGGTACTATGTGCGATGATGAAAACTGTTTATGTTAAATGAATTAAGCTTTCTTCTCTTATATAACAATCGAAGCCCACAGATGAATCGAGATTTTTATTAGATGATTGGTTCCTAATTGGTGTTTTGTTCTCCATAACAATAGAGGCGTAGGCTTCATGAGGGCTTTTCATGTTTAAATTAACTACACGCGAAAGGATTTGAACAAAAGGCGTGATAAAGCGACTTTGATGGAGTTAATGGAACCGCGGGCTAATTTCAGTCCTTTGATTGTTATGTGAGTAGTCGGGTAATTTGAAAGTGCTAAAATTCTTGTTTTTGAGATTAATGAAATATGCACACACGCCTTATTTTTTGTGGCACTTGCTAAGAATAAGCAAGGAAACAAGGAATATCAATGCCTGATTCTGTTAGCCGTTAGTTAACCATACTGTTTTCTGTGGAAGTGTGAGGTTCAACTAAAACAAAGTTTTTGTCTCAGTTTTGGTCTCACGCACGCAAAAAAAGTAAACGGATTGATGGTATGAAGGCTATGCATGAGTAGTCTATTGTTTATTGTTTAAGAGAGCGGGTCATAAAAGTGCCAATATTATTGTTTGTCTGTTTGTTAAATTTATCAACAATCCTAAGTTTTTGTAAGCGTAAAATAATAGGGTACATAAAAGGCAAATCTTACGGTGTATGTCGTGCAAAGATTGTTTCATTCATAAGATATCAAGATTATTGTTTCTTTTTAGTGTAAAAAAGGCATGTAGTTACACTTTAGTCATTTTAATAACCACTGTTAATTTTTTATTGGTCAATGACTTTTGTGAAATTTGTGGCTCCTAAAGGAGCCGTTTGGTTTTGAGTTGTGAAATCGATCTTTAAAATTGCGTTGCTGCTCCTTTTGCCTCCACTACCGCCGGGACGAGTTTCTTAAGCACATGGTCGATGTACTTAGCGCATTTCGCTTCCGTCACCCTCTCAGCCCAAAACGCCTCTATTCCGTCAACCAGTTCTTTTTTGTTTTGCGGCTTCACTTTCGATTCTAAGTAAAATTTCAGTTCGTGCCATAAGTTCCTAGTCTTGACGTATGTTTGAGACCATCATCCTGCATAAATATGTGGTTTGGTAGCGTCTAATTGTTAACACTAAATTACCTGCTATACTGTCCCACCGACGCAGCACCACAGTTTCTTTAGAAACTTACCCCTTTATTCTGATCGAGGGCGGTTTTCAGTGGATCCAGTTTCCTGCATTTTGTTGATGATCCTGGTGACACTTGCAAGGCTTCCTTGTAGATTTTCGCGTCTCAAGGCTTTCAATATTTGTACGGGATAAAATACTTCCTTGTGGAGACAAGCAATTCTTTCTCTGGTATGTGAAGTCCCGCGGGTACATTATATGCAAATACAGGTTGGTTTCCATGGGGATGCAATAACACATCGCAACGCGTTAAAAAAAGTAAGCTTTGCACCCTCCCTCAGTACCGTTTTCACAAGCTGTCTTTTTCTCGCTCTCGCTACTCTCGTTTTTTCGATAGTATCAAAATAAATATAGCCTTTCTTATAATTTAAACAAGCCTTGTTTGCTCTTTATGTAACGCTTCTTATATCAATTTGTTGCGTGACGGAAACAGGCATGCGCAGTAGATTTAGGGGCGTTCACTATTTTAGCTCTCTAGTACGTTGCGTAACGTAGTCTACGTGTGCCTTCCAAAACAACGTAACGAAAAAGGTTCTGTTCTTGTACAAAAGGGAAAAGGGGTATGATTTTAGGTTGATTATATGTTTTGTTTAGCCTCTTCTTCGTTGATCGTTTGTGTGAAATACTGATTTCGTATTGGGTATTGTCGATTTGAGATTGTAATGTTTGTACGAATATTTAGTTCACGCAGAGTTCCGATCTATTGTGTGAATCTCGTTTTAGTTTCATCGAACGATCCGTTTGTAATGTTAGGTCCATTAAGTGTATTTTTTGTCATTCTTGTTACAGTTTTTACGTGCTATTTCCTTGCTATTAAAATGATAAACATCAAACGCATCGTCTATTCATCTATTGAACATCTTCAACGTAAACGACAGTTACACTTTACCACGAGTAATCTTTGCTTCTAACAAACACCTGCAAAGTACATTTCCTGGGAGTAACTCCTTTGAAAAAATGCGACCTGCTCTTGTGGGTGTTCGCATGTTCGCTGACGCAGGAACGGCATTGACAAGAGACGAAATTCAGACACGGGCGATGGATGTTTTAAAACTTTTTGACAAAGTGAATCCTGAAAAGGTTTCGAGCGAGAGTCACTTTGTCAACGATCTTGGTTTGGACAGTTTGGATGTAGTGGAGATTGTCATGGCACTGGAAGATGAATTTGGTATTGAAATTTCTGATGAAGAGGCTGAAAAGGTTTTCACTGTAGAAGATGCCGTAGAGTTGATATCCAAGGCACTAGATATACATTAACACGAGCAAGGTACTCAGCCAAGCCCAGCACTCAGATGTAAATGGATTTCACTGTCTACTGAAACTGACTGCTTTTCCTGTGAATTGTCTGTTGTTTTGTTCATTGTTGTGTTTGAAGCAACTTAAAGTAAACCACTTTTTTTAGTGATAATTTCTATATTACAGTATTCTACCAAATGGAGAGGAGATCGGATGACTATGTGCTTTGTGAAATTACATTGGAGGCTTCCCACCTCTATTGCTTCTCATTTGTTTTAATTTGAGTTGTTTGGTGTTTTATAGGCTCTCAGTTTGATTGGTAAATCAAGTTTTATGTATGCTGCTCAGTAAATAAACTTGAGTCATTTCTTGTCAAAAATAATATATTCTTATGGTTTTAGAACTTTTACAGTAGCTGCTCCCTTTTATGGAACTCCTTACCTTTAGAAGTCAAGTCTTCGCCCAGTTTGAATATTTTTAAATCTAAACTGAAAACACACCTTTTTAAATGCGCTTTTAATCTAAATTAGATAACTTAATCTTTTGTTTTTATATTTCTAAGTCATACTGTAATACAGTGGATGTAAAGCGCTTAGAACGCATGCGAATAAGCGCTATATAAGTGTTAAATGTTGTTAAATGTTATTTTGTGTTATTTTGTGTAGTAGCGAACTTGCTTAACTGATGTGCAGCGAACGTGTGGCAAACTTCGACCATAGCCGACTCTGTATGTAGCGAAACTGGCATAAATTTCTTATACTACCCTTTTCACGCTGATGAAACAGACTTCGAATAGAATGATACACTAGGTTTACTTTCCTACTCGCTCAGACAGTATCAGGTTGATGAAAAATTCGCCGAGTGGCGCAATGTTGCCTCACCGATCGAACACTTAATAATGGCGATATCTTACCGACACGACGATATGTCGCTTAGTTTAAACGAGATATTGTTAGGCGGCGGCGATATATCGCTGAGCTCAAAAGATATATCGCTGAGCTCAAACGATATATCGCTGAGTTCAAACGATATATCGTTCAAGAAAAACGATATATCGTTCAGGAAAAACGATATATCGCTCAGGGAAAACGATAATTCGTGAGGAGCTCAACGATATATCGGCGATATCTCACGGTTAGAACAATAGCCCGGCGGCCGATATATCATTCCAACGGAAATATCGCTTACATATCGCCGATATCTCGCGATTATTGCGATAAACAACGATAATCGTTTGCATTACTTTTGCATAGTACTGTATGTGGATTGTGGTTATATCAATTCGAATTAAAGTGAGACAATTTTGAGGTATAAAAGTGAAAGACAGTTGATAATTTTCTTACGAACTTGCCGAATGTCAGGAAGTTATTATTAGAAAACTTGCAGTTTTAAGAAAGCATGTATTGTTTTTAGTATGCTGTCGGTTATTAGGTAAAGGCGAAGTAATTCAGGCATGTATTTTACGTTGGCATTGAAAACTTATCTTAGTTGTCTAGTTTTGATTTGACCATCCTTCACGAAGAGTGTTTCGATATAACAAAGTGCGCCCAAGTGATAAAAAATAACACCAGCGAGATTGAATAGGTCTCCTGTCACTTCTCCTTATATTTCCTTGTACAGTTACAAGCAGTAAAAATCATCAATCGAAACTCCACTACTGACAATTTGATTTCTTTGCAGATGTTGACGAATGTAGTTCTTCCATTCCCGCCTGTGATCCGAATGCCAATTGTCAGAATACTGAAGGGTCATTTCGTTGTCAGTGTGTGACAGGATTCTCGGGTGATGGGAGATCTTGCACCGGTAAGGTTATTTTTGAAGGCAGACGTGGTGGTTGCATAGTAAACACGGAGGTTTGGGCCCAGGTCGTTTAGGCGTGTTATGTTCTTGAAGAAGGTTCTTTATTTTCTGTTACCTTTCTGCAAGAAAGGGGCAGTAAATAGGTAGTAGTGCAGTTTTAGAAAATCGAATTAACAAAAGATTTGAGGATGTGTAGGAGGGGGAGTGGAGGAAGGGAATATAAATTGTGTTATTCCAGGTGTTGAAAAATAACACCACCGATATTGAACAGATCTCTTGTCACTTCTCCCAATGTTTCCTTTTAGAGTTACAAGCAGTTAAAATCATCAATCGGAGCTTAACTACTCACTATTTAATTTCCTTGCAGATGTTGACGAATGCAGCTCTTCCATCCCCGTCTGTGATCCAAAGGCCAATTGTCAGAATACGGAAGGCTCATTTCATTGTCAGTGTGTGATTGGATTCTCTGGTGATGGGAAATCTTGCACCGGTAAGGTTATTTTTTAAGGCAGACTTGGTGGTTGTATGGTAAACGCAGAGGTTTGGGCCGTAGTTGTGTTATGTTTTTGAAGAAGGTTCTTTACTTTCCGTTACCTTTCTGCAAGAAAGGGGCAATAAATAGGTAGTAGTAAATTTTCAGAAAATCGAATTAACAAAAGATTTGAGAATGTGTGGGAGGGAGAGTGGAGAGGGAGAATTTTATATTGTGTTATTCCTGGTGTTGAAAAATAGTAGTTATAAGTTACAAGCAGTAAAAATTATCGATCGCAGCTCCACTACTGACTATTTGGTTTGTTTGTAGATGTTGACGAATGCAGTTATTCTATTTCCGTCTGTGACTCAAATACCAATTGTCAGAACATCGAAGGCTCTTTCCTTTGTCAGTGTGTAATTGGATTCTTCGGTGACGGGAAATCTTGCACTGGTATGAAGAGTTTTGAGCCTTAGTCTTACCGGTGTTATGTTTTTGGGCGAGACTTTACTCTTCGGTACCTTTCTCTAGACAAAGGGTCTACCAGAACTATCGGGAAATAGAATTAGCAAAAGATTTTGTGTGTTTAACTACTTGAACGGTGGCAGACTTCGGGGTGCTGCTGTGAAAAATTAAGTCGGCCTTCAGTTGACGGTGGTCATTTCTATTCTATTAAAGTTAAGAGTTTTTGAGAGGTGAAAGCGAAAGGTAGTTGATGATTTTCTTGAGAACTTGCCGAATGACATGTTTCCCGTATGGAGAATTAAGTAATTATCAAAAAGCTTGCAGTTTTTCGAAAGCGTATATAGATTTTAGTTTTCTATCGATTATCAGGTATATCCTAAGAAATTCAGAAATGCATGTTAAGTTGGCATTGAAAACTTTTAGAAGGGAAAGAAAAAAAGTAAAATACGTGTCATATACAGGACCCCGTTGGGCGCCTTCACTTGCAGGTAAATACGAAGATAATTTATTGTCGGGGCTCCCTTTCTCTTATAAAGCTTAAGTATTTAATTTAAATTATTCAAGTATATTTGAGGCCAGTGTGATCTCTGAGACCTCCAACACTCAGTCAAATGTATGTTGATTACACAGCTAGTAAGGAGGGCGCTCCTATCCGTTTAATGGGCGGTGGAGCAAGCTACGGACGCGTTGAAATTTATCACAACGGGAAGTGGGGCACAGTGTGTGATGATCTATGGGACACCAATGACGCCAATGTGGTATGTCGTCAGCTTGGCTTTCCTGGTGGAAAACAGGCTCCTCATAGAGCTAAATACGGTGAGGGGTCTGGTTCAATCTGGATGGATGATGTCGACTGCCAAGGCGGAGAGGCAATGTTGTCTCATTGTATGTTTCCAGGCTGGCAAATAGAAAACTGTATCCATAGTGAGGATGCTAGTGTGGTTTGTAACAATTAGGTTGGTCGCTAACAAAAAATTGATTCGCAAGAACCAAAGTTTTCGTTATTTTGTGGTATTGTAATGTACAACCTTACTGCGGCCTGCGCACATTGAAAAAAGTGCATTTTGTTTCTGGGTTGAGCTTTCCAGTGCCTGAGACCACATTACAGTGGGGAATCAGAAATAATCGTTAAGAGGCCGAAGTAATTGGAAAGCACATGAAAACATAATCATAGAGATTCTGTATGTAAAAACTGCTTCTATACATATCTCATCAGCTTCTTCATTTTTTTTTTGTAATGTAAATGTAAGGATGAGAAAGTTATGAATATTTGATTTGTCATCACCCCACTCTTTTCTAAAGGTGGTGTTACTCGGGAAAATTGCGAAAACAATTTCTCGCGCAACACTGTTGTATGAAAAATCGAAGTCCATGCAACACGATACTGATAACAGCCGTAACGCAACTTTTGATTTGATTAGGCAGCACTTTGTTAGCTTTTGATCTTGGTTCAAATATGTGCAACACGAGATGACGAAATTTGCAAGATCAACCGGCGTGATATGGCTGCTAAGAATTCCTTTCATTGAGTCTAAGAAATACTGTAGAGAATCGTACTGAAATCATGTTAGATGTTAAGAACATTTACAAAAGACTGATTCTAATATGCCGGTGTAGGTCAGCATTTTATGTCAAGGTAGATATTGTTTAAATGCTCTGTATTTAGTAAACAGCTGTCGAAGTTTTTTTTGAGTAAAACGTTAGAGCGACTGGATGTTTTTAACTTAAGAAGAAACACCAGGCAACAAGGGAATTGAAGTAATAATTTTAGCTTTAAAATTTTTTATATTCATTGTGTTGCCAGTCCAGTAGAACAGCGTATAGGTAACGCTATTATTCAGTGTACGCAATGATCGGTAAGTGTCCAAGGAGACTCTGTGCGGGAAACAGAGAGATAATACATGTAGCTAGACGAATTTAATCAGCAGCATGAAGGGGTTGCCATAGACCTCCTAATGGTTAGCATGATTATCAGGATTTTGTTTTCATGAAAATTAGCGTTGTTAATCCTATCTCTGAGTGAAGATTCATAAATTTGTATACATGTAACTGGGACCAGAAAGAGTAATTCACATTAATGTAAGTGAATGAAAGTTAGTTTTGCCATGTAAGGAAGTCAAATGTATTTCGTAGCAATAAAACTAAGGCCTCGTCTTGCCGTTAGGGTACTTTTTTCAGATCGCGTATTTAATCACGACCAATTTGTGTACCTTTAATAATAATAGAATATACTTGCTGTACGTGTTAGTGTTACTATGAAAACAATTAAATGTGACTTTGAACCATCTTTTGCGTAATTCCATATTGGCAGACACCTTGATGCAGTGATGCACGAGAAGCCTAAAATGGAAAAGATTAGCTGAAAATCAGCTATAAAATTAATGACAAGTTACCCTGATGGAGCTTTTTATGTTTTCTCAACTTGTGCAACTGTT